AACGGATGAGCGCCCTAGTACGAAAGCCCCTACTTAGTTTAAAGCATTAGTCACGAAGAAGCAACGGATGAGCACCCTAGCGCGAAAGCCGTTGCGCGTTAGTACGCGCAAGAAGCAACAGAATTAGTGCTCTAGCATGAAAGCCATTGCGCGTTAGTACGTGCAGCCGTTTTCTTGCTCCATTTTCTTGCTACTTTAGTTTGATTGCTGCTTTAGTTTTCTTGCTCTGTTTTCTTGCCTAGTTTTCTGATATGTTAATCTTAATTTTGTGTTTTGGGAGGACAATAGGATGGCTGACTACCTGACTAAGCTAGCTCATAGTTCTAATCTTAACGTTTGTTTCTTTGATGCCCTACCCTTTTAGTTAGTCTTTTCTTGGGTGGTTTGCTTGCTTTATTTGTTTTCTTTTGTTGCTTGTTTCCATAGTTTTTGTATGCCCCCAATTTGTTGAATGATAGTTTCCTTGTTATTCAAAAAAAAAACAGAGAAAACAGAAAAGGATCAATGACAATTATGTTTATAAAATAGATTATCTTTTACCCTTTCTTTCATCAATTTAAAATGTTTTTTCAAAATAATGATTCAAACAATTTTATTTTTTGTTACAAAATTTGTTCAGAAAAACTATTTTATAAAATTATTTTAAGAATATAAAAACAGAAAGCAAAACCAAGTCTCTCTGCATGTCTAATGGATTATGATATATTTTTCTATAGATTCAAAGTCCTCAAGTATAATTATTTTTGAGGGTGAAATTCAAAATGTTTTTTCTCAAAATAATGATTCAAACAATTTTTTTATTTTTTTTTTCAAAATTTGTCCTGAAAAACTATTTTATAAAATCATTTTAAGAATTTAAAAGCAGAAAACAGAACCAAGTCTCTATGCATGTCTAAGAGTCTTTCTTTAGAGATTCAAAGGCCTCGAGTATAATTATTTTTAAAGGTGAAAAGACCGAAATACTTTTGATGGGTAAAATATCCATACCGCATGTTAACTAAAGGAAATTAACAATCGAAGGTCTGAAAATAAAAAAGTTCAGTTACTTATAAAAAAATTTGTTTATTCAAAAAAGTTCATGTGAGATTGCACTTGCACTTGAAAAAATTTACGAGTTACTAGAGAAAAATTAATAATAAAAAGTTTATAAAATAACAAGAAAAGTTTACTTACTTATAACAAGAAGTCTAGTTATTCATAAGAGCTGTGTGAATTTATATTTGTACTTGAAGAAGAAAAAATTTACAAATTAAATAAAAAAAACTCTAATAATAAAAAGGTTTGCAAACAACAAGAAAAGTTGAATTATTTATAACAAAAATCTACTTATTTATACAAGTCCATGTCAAATTTCATTTAATTTCTTTTCACTCATTAAAAGTAATGGAGTCATTTTAACGAGAAAAATAATTAAACTTGAGGCATTCAGACATGTAGAGAAATATTAGAATCTATTAACCTTAAAAAAGAATTATGTTCCTTTGAATGGCGCGGTTCTTCCATTAAAATAAGGTGTGCTGAAACATTCAAACTTGAAATTATTGTTGTTGTATTGTATATGCATATTAAAAAGCTCCTTTTAGAACTAATTTATCATGATTTTCACAGATAAAATTTTTTTTAAAAAAAATGACAGTTAAGTCTTAAAAAAAGAGATTAATGACAATTAAATTTTACACAAATTTTTTTGACAAATCAAGTTTAAATATCAATTCAAATAATTATAAAATTAAAAATCTTAATTATAAATAAAATATTTAAATTTTAAATATAATAATTAATTTATAATTCAATATATTTACAACTATTTAAATTAATATATACAATTTATTTTATAAAAATTTTATCGCGATCTAATTATTATTAATTCATCATTTTATGACAATATTGTCATTATTTTTTTTTGTGAACAAAGTTGAAATAGTAAAGAAATTAAATAATATTTTATTAAACATAAAATGATTATTTATAAAAAGAAAATTTTAAAACAATAAATATTTTAAAATAAAAGGAGAATTTCAACTGATTTGAATGGGAAAAAAAGCAGAACCAATGGACTGGGAAGTGAAAGCTCGGAGCTAAAAATAGAGTAATTAAGATTCTAACGTCAGAAAGTACAAATAAATACAAAATGAAAAAAATAAAACAGAAATAAGTAATAGATATAATCTTTCTGTTAAAAAATATAAAATATTTTTAATCGAATATCACTTCAATAAAATAGTTATTTATTTTTAAATTAATCCTATTTTTTTATATTTATATTTATTAAATACTCTATAATAAATATAAAGTCATTATCAATAGGGATACTTTTAAAAAAAGCAATAATTATACCTTAAAATGTTAAAAATGCCTTACATTTTTAACATCCAACCTTTTAAAAATACTTTATATTTTTGAACAATGAGAGTAAAAATTAGTGGTGCATCTCAGGCTTCACTCTAACCTAATATTCAACCTAATGTGCATGTTTGGGTATTGGGCTGCTTGACATTTTGGGATGAATTTTAGCTTTAACTAAAAATTATTTTTAAAATAAAAAAATTAAAATTATATGTAATTAATAATTATCCATTATTTTTACATGATTAGAATCACAAAAATATTTATGACGAACATAAAAACAATATAATGCATGAAAATATTAAGTAAAATAATATATAAAAAATTCAAATATCAGTTACTGATGATACAATAAAAAACTAATCTTTTTCAATGCAAGTAAAGTAAATAAATAAATAAATAAAATACTTGCTTTTAATAAATTTATTGGCGTTTTAGTTACTTCCTCTTTTATGTTTCTTCGGTCCTATTTATAAAATAGAGAGAAGAAAAAAATTAATCCTATTTATAGAACACTTACCAATTTTTAAAGCTTCCTTTTACGTTTTTGCTTTTATTAAATATTTTGAATAAAATTATCAATAATAAAATTTAAGAATATTTATTAGGAGCAAGGGTAGAAACTTATTAAATTTTAAAACAAATTTAATAAGGTTTAAAGTTTTTATTCATTTTGATAAATTATATTAAAAATAATTTATAAATAAAATTACAGAGAGTAAGGTATAGTCGACAGTGGTCCGATTTGGCCACGCTACACAATTTAAATACTAAAGAAGATATGATTATATTTATATAAATCACAACTAATGTTCTCTCTCTGTCTTTTTTATTTTGGGTGAACAACAGCTATGTGGCTTTGTTTGTTTATAAAAGTATCCTTCTCACAATTTGATTTAATTGAAGAAAAATTTGGCTAGTTATTAAATTTATATATGCGTCATTTTTTATCAAATTAAATGTACTATATTTGAAAATTTGTTGTAATGTAGTTTAAATATGTTAAAATTTATTGAATGTTGTAATGAATTTAAATCCTTTGAATTGTAATGAAAAACTTTTTGTTATTATTGAAGATTTTTATGGATTTATTTTGACTAGTTTTTAATGTTTTATAATAAATTTCACATGGTTACAAGTATTTTTGTTATTTTAATTAAATTTATAATGTTAAAATGAATTATTATTTCTCGTAGAAATAAAAGGGGGGAGTAAAGTGAGGGACTAAATTATTGAGATAAATCTCTCTAATCCTATATGTTATCTAACCTAGTGTCTTTATACCCGGTTTGTTTTTGCTTTTTGTTTTTTTTTAAGTGCTCTTTATGGAAAAAAATAATCACTTATAAAAATTTTAAGATGTTTATTTAATATTTTTAAAATATTCAAAATCTAAAAATAATTAGATATATGATTATTTGGAGAAGTTAATCTGAGCAGTTTTTTTTTTGTTTTTTGGTTTTTTTAGAAAAGTCATAGGCTGGATGGAAGAGAAAAAGTGAGGAAACTCATCAGACCTTTTGAACCTCATCAGAACTCCATTTTTCTCATGCAAGTTGTGACAGCATCTTCGTCTTTATTCCCCCCTCTTCACTTTCAGCGTGCTTCAATTTGCTTGAGAGAACAAGATATTGCTTGAGAGGGCAAAGCTTTTATCTTTTATTGATATAAGATTTGTGGTTAACGAGTGCTGGATACAGCAGGTGGTCAGTAGTAGGATAGTACTCTGTCCTTTTTTTTTTTTTCTGTCTTTTTTTTTTTTTTAAAGGATGGTGTGCTCTTTCTTCTTATTCACGGTCTAAGGGAAGGTTTTTAAAACAAAAAAATAAAAAAATTTTAAAAAAATTAATTTTTTAATCCTTCAACTTTTCATTCATTTAGTGCTTCAATTATAACTCATTATAATTCAGTCTCTCAATTATAACTCGCTGTAATTCAGTTCTTCAACTTTTAACTCACTTATAGTTCGATTATTATTTTTTAATTTTTTTAAAATTATCTTTATCAAATAAAAGGAATAAAATAAATGCTCATATCTTGTTATAAAATATCCTCATTTTATTTTTTGATATGAGATCTAAGCTAATATAAAAAAAGAGAAATAATAAAAGTTAAAAGACTGAATCATAAACGAGTAAAAAGTTAATCGATTGAGTCATAAATAAGTCAAATGTTAAGAGACCAAGTGGCAGTAAATCATAATTAAGGGATTGAGTTATAAATAAGTTAAAAATTGAAGAATTAAAAAATTAATTTTTTTAATATTTTCAAAATAATTCTACAAAACATCAATTCTCAAAATAATAAAATAAAAATAATTTCAAACAAGCCCTAAAAATTTACTAATCATAGTAGATTAATTTCTAACTCTAATACACCTAAAATATGAATTCAAGATTAAAAGAACTAATTATGTGATTATGCGTTAAAAAGTAATTTTTTACTTTTATAACCAAACCTAAAATATTTTTTAATTTTTTAAAGATCTTTACAAAATGTATTATTTTTAATAAAAAATTTAAATTGTTTAAAATTATTTATTTATTATTTTTTTGGTAGAAAAAATTATTTATTTTTAAATCTTAAACAAATCAACCTTCATGTCGAAGAGGCCAGATTTGCGTTCTGTGCTCTTGTCCGTCTTTTGTGCAGCCCAGCCCAAATCCAAATCGATCTCTGCCTCCTCGAATTTCGCCCTTTCACAGTCTGCCGTTGTCTTTCGTTCGCACTTGCAATTGCTGCAGCTCCTCTCTCTCCATGCCGGTCTGAAACCTCGCCGTCTCTCGCTGGCTGCTGCTGCTCGTCTCTGTCTGTGTTGTTGCTCTCGTCTCTTGGGGGCGTTCACGGTACTATTTTGCAATCCGCAATTCATCTTCCATTTCAACTGTCTCCTCTTTAATTACCGGAATCAGGTCCAGGGGTTGCTAAAAATAGCATCTTTTTCATTGCTTTTCGGTTGGGTAAATCCTTAAATTCTTGAATTTTAATATTGTGGCTATTTGATTTTATATGCTTTTCCTGGTTAAGTTCTTTTTCATCGTGAAGAATGGACAAGTATAATAGCACTCGGTACTGGGGTTGAGATGGTATTGTTTGTGCGAGTGTGCCGTCTTGTTGCTGTTGTTAGTGAGAACGGTAGAGTTCTTGAGAAGTATTTGATTGGAATATTGTAATTTGCTGCTTCTATGTTGCATTTATTTTGTAACTGGTTAATGCTTTCTTGAAATATATTACCGCTTTATCATATCTTCTGTTTCGGAATCTATAGTCATGTGTCCCTTGGTTAATCATGTTCAGCACTCTAGTGTTTTTTCTCTTCAAAATGTACAACTATGAAGCCCCTCTTCTAAACTGGTTTTTCTCATTCAACTCCTAACGCTTCAATGCCTGGAGATTTGAATGAAGTTAATGATAATTTCAATATTGGTGATTATTAGTTTTTGATTTTTTAATGATTGAGGGATTGTAACTTATGAGGATGAATATTTGGAATTTTGTATTTTATTATTGTTTGAATTGTTGTATTTGTATCTTGTATGAGACATTAATCTTGGATATGGATGAATGTTTTGATGATTAATTTCTTTTTATTTAAGTTGTATTATTTTAATCATGATGTGTTTGCCTTTGGTTTGACCCATCTGGTTGGACCACTAACTTGTAAACCACTGTTTTGACCAGTTTAATAATTGGTCTAATTTTCTGTACCTTACTCTTTACCTCATTGTCTCTCAATCTCTCACCTTCCCTTTGGTACTGCCTGCCTCACCATCTCTTAAAACTACCTACCTTCGATTTCTCTCCTTGAAGCTCATCCACTTCTAAACATGTTTCGTCCCCATCCATAGCTGTCGTCATTCTCAATCTCTGCCTCTTCTCAACACATCTCTTCACTGTGGCCTTTGATCTACTCATCGAACCTTCATCGCCACTAATCTGCTCTTCAACATCCTTCGTTGCTTAAGATCTTTTAGTCTCCTGCCCATGTTTTGATGCTTTGTGCATCTACTAGATTATTGTGCGAAATTATAGATTTCTGATTTTTTTGTTGCGATATTCTACCGTCTGTGCTTTTTAATTTTATTGTTGTAAAAATACTTAGTGTTGATTTCATTTTTGATACATGATAAGGAAGTAAAGGAAGCTCTTAAAAAAATGGCAAATGGTAGAGCCAACGGACCTGATTGTATATCTATCGAAACGTGGAAATGTCTAGGTGAAGAAGGGGTGAGATGGTTAACTAAGTTATTTGATGTAATTTTACGGTCTAAGAAAATGCCTGATGAGTGGAGGAGAAGTACATTAATTCCTATTTATAAAAATAAAGGAGATATTCAGAATTGTACTAACTATAGAGGGATTAAGCTCATGAGCCACACAATGAAATTGTGGGAGAAAATAATTGAGCACAGGTTGAGATTAGAGACAAGTATTTCTGAGAATCAGTTTGGTTTTATGCCAGGTAGATCAACTACAGAGGCGATTTATCTACTAAGGGGATTAATGGAAAAGTATCGTTGTAAAGATAAAGATCTACACATGGTTTTTATTGATTTGGAAAAAGTTATGACCGTATACCAAGAGAAGTGCTTTGGAAAGCGTTAGAAAAAAAGGGAGTACGAATTGCTTATATTAAAGCCATACAAGATATGTATGAGGGGGTAAAAACTAGTATAAGAACGTCTAGTGGTCAAACAAAAAATTTTTCTATAAAGATTGGACTACATCAGGGATCATCTCTGAGTCTTTATCTGTTCAATTTGATCTTAAATGTTTTGACAGAACATATTCAAGGGGAAATTCTGAAATGTATGCTCTTCGCGGATGATATAGTTCTTATAGCAGATACAAGAGAAGAGGTTAATTGCAAACTTGAGTTATGGAAGAGGACATTGGAGTCGAAAGGTTTTCGTCTGAATAGAAGTAAGACGGAATATTTATATTGTAAATTTGGTAAAGGACTATTCGACAATAATTTGGAAGTGAAATTGGGAGATCAAATTATACCTCAAGTGGAAAAGTTTAGATATTTGGGAGCCATTATTCAAAATGATGGCGAAATCAGTGGAAATATTTCACATAGAATTCAAGCTGGGTGGTTTAATTGGAGAAAAGCTAAAGGAGTTATTTGCAATCGTAAGGTGCCTAATAAACTTAAAGGAAAGTTTTATCGCACTGCTATCAGACCGGCAATGTTATATAGTAGTGAATGCTGGGCTCTAACGGGACAACAAGAGCATAAAGTTGGAATAGCAGAGATGAGAATGTTACGATGGATGTGTGGACATACACGTAAAGATGAAATTCGAAATGAGCACGTACGCGAAAAAGTGAGGGTGGCACCTATTAAGGAAAAAATGGTAGAAAATCGGTTGAGATGGTTTGAGCATGTACAAAGAAGACCAAGGGAGGCACCGGTGAGAAGAGTGGAACATATAACTTTGAGTCCGATTAAGAGAGATAGAGGAAGGCCTAAGAGAACACTTTTGGAAGTTATTGAACGCGATCTGTTAATTAATAATATTCCTAAAAGCTTGATAAATGATAGAGCACAATAGCGTCTTGCAATCCATGTAGCCGACCCACCTAATGGGATAAAGGCTTGTTGTTGTTGTTGTTGTTGATTTCATTTTTGAAATCATTATCTGTGTCTTTTTTTTTTTTTTGGTTGATCTAATGTGGCTTTCTTCCCTCTTTTGATTCTGATTGGATTTTGGTTTGTCTAACTTAATTCGTTGATTGTTATTTGTTTTTGTTCTTTCCTTTTACTTTGCCCCCTCCTTTTAATTGGTTCATGGTTATCTCTTGAAAATAGTTGACGTAGGTTTTTACTTGCTTTTTTTTTTTTTTAATTTCTGGATTGGTTTGTTTCTGGCCATCTCTTTAATTCTATTTCCTTTTTTTTTTTTTCTGTGAAACTATTTATATGATTGCCAAGGGGAAGGCAGGAATACAGTATCACCTGATGCACTTTACAATATACGAAGATTTGTGGATTCATTGACCTAACTTAACTCCTTGTCTGTCATTTTTTTTAATTCTTTCCTTTTTCTTTCCCCCTCCTTTTAATTAGTTCATTGTTAATTTCTTGAATATAGTTGATGTTGGTTTTTACTTTCTTTATTTTTATTTCTGGATTGGTTTGTTTCTGGCACTTGCTCTTTAAATTTATTTCACTTTTATTTTTTTTTTTCTGAAATTATTTATATGATTGCCATGGGCAAGGGAGGAATACAATATCACCTGATGCACTTTACAATATAAGAAGATTTTTGGATTTGTTCTAGCGAACTTCATCAAATTCAGGTTTCTCCACATTGACTCAATCGGTCCTACCTCCTTCACTGTGAAGCATTTGGGCTCGTCTTTTTCACCATCTTCTCTACCAGGATGAGCTGAAGCCACCATGAGATATTTGCCTTTGTTTGCTTCATTTTCCTGTTCAGTTTTAACTTGATTTCCATTTTCAATTTGGAGTTGATTTTGATGTGCTGTGGGTTGATTCTGCACAAGGAGGGATCAGAACCCAAAAAATTGAAGGAGACTGAATGAATCCTTGATTTGCTTCCCTGTAAATTACATGTCATTCTTGGGGCTTCAAGGAGATCTATAAAACAGAAGGAAGAGATTGATCTGAGAAGGGAAGGTTACCTCGTTAATAAGTTGAGCCACTGTCCTCAAAGTTGATTGCTTCAATTCAAAATATTTGTGCGAGGTGTGCACTTTGGAGAAAGAGATCAAATAGTCTAAATGGAAGATGGTGTCAGCGATAACCAGACAAGAAGAGTTGTTTTTGTAACTGTGGGGACAACTTCATTCGATGCTCTTGTGAAAGCAGTGGATTCTCCGACAGTCAAGCAAGAGCTATTTACAAAAGGCTATACGCACCTTCTCATTCAAATGGGTCGTGGATCTTATGTTCCCACAAAGGTAGTCTTAAAAGCACTTCATTGCAGTTCATTTTCTTTCCCCTTTCTGCCTTATATTCCTTACTCATTGGATATCTCCACGATGAAGTTAAGTTGAACTATTATCGGCTTCTTGTTTATTGACCAGTGATGATGATGATTTGTGTTCTATTACAATACAGTCTAGTGGTGAAAGGTAATTCAAAGATTGGAAATTTAGAAATATTTTGAATACAAAGTTTGGAAATGCTTCCACTCAAAGTTCCTCAAATGTTTTTTAATGTCCGTTAGAAATTTGTGAAAATCTAAAGGGTGATGTCAATGCATGATGACTTTACCACCCAGAAATTATGAATTAAGAGTTTGAGAGCCGTCTGTCAATTTTAAGTTATAGATGCTTTTTCTAAAAAAATGATATTAAATCATTATTTCTGTAGACTTTAAAATTAAACTTTATTGATATTGGCATTAGCTTTATCAACCTCACCTAATGAGATAAGGCTTGTTGTTGTTGTTATATTGACATTAGCTTTATCACATGCTTCTTTCATTTATTGAATTTCTTAGAGATTACTTCTTTGTAGTCTGAAGGAGATGGTTCGTTGGCTGTAGACTACTTCAAATTTTCCTCAAGCATTGCCGACCATCTCAATGCAGCATCTCTTGTCATTAGTCACGCAGGTCATTTTTTTGTTTTTCTTTCCGGTTCTCCGTTTTTAGTATGGTATTGTCAAGTTTTCATGAGTCATGGTGTTACTATTTTGTTTCAGTGGCTTCAATTTTATTCTTCCATCTACATGGGGCAAAGTAGCTGTCATGCCAATGGTCATTGGTTAAATTTGTTGCATTCTACCTTACACTAAAGTTGGATTTGAAAATCATTGGATATGTGTCAACTAAGTTCGTGTGAGTCATTAAGGAGAAAAGGAAGAAAATGAACATAAGAAATGAGCCACAGCTGTCACAGGCTGGTGAATGTGATTAGATTAATTAATAGGACATAATGGAGCAGGGACAAATACATATATCAGGCACTGAATTAGACTTTGCATTGAAATGACTTGAGTGGTTTAATGAATTTAATTTAAAATTAAAATTAAAATAGTTTAGCATGGTTGATGTCCTTTAAGCTGGTTAAGGAATAAACAAATGGTCTGTAAAGTCCCTCCCTTTTTGCCTCGGGCTATGCGTGGAGGAACTATTTGCTTTGTTGAAAGTGGGGGATATTTCCCCCCTTCTAGATGCGTTGCTCCTATATCTATATCTGCTTTCAAAGTTTTGTGTATGCAGAGATTCCTGCATTGTCATTGCACTTCCTCATGAGTTGACTGTTGGTACTTTCGTTTCTTTTTTCAGTATCATCAGTTTCTTATTTGGCCAGCTGGGGCCCCAAGCTTCATAAAGTCTGCCATGTGTTTCAGAATGAATGTGTTATACACAATTTTCTATGATGAGGGCATGTAAACTGTTTTGACTCCATGCAGGATCAGGTAGCATATTTGAGACATTACGGTTGGGGAAGCCTTTAATTGTGGTTGTAAATGAAGATTTGATGGACAATCATCAAAGTGAACTTGCAGAAGAACTAGCAGACCAAAAACATTTGTATTGTGCACGTCCTCAAACTCTTCATCAAATTGTAGCAGATATGGAATTAAGTCATCTCGTTCCTTACTCTCCAGGAGATGCCACACCGGTCGCAAAGCTCATAAATAGATTCCTCGGTTTTCCTGATGATTGAAGAGCCATGATATGATTCATATAAGAAGTTTAATTAGGGAATATCCGGAATTAGTAGCGATGAAGAGGCGAAACCTGAAGGGAGGGACATTGATATAGAGGTGAAGGACGCAAAACGGTGTTATAATGGATTGGTGGGTGAAGCATGTGGTACGTGATTGGTATGACACATAAGAGATCTGAACAGAAAGCGAAGGTTGAACGTGAATACTTACATTGCATGATGGGTTTGGTGGTTGTGGTCCTGCTCCATCTTAAATGCCACTTGTACTCCATACCAGCTTTGTGATGGGGCACATGATCTGTGTGACTTTGTGCTTTGCCATTTTCATGCCCTTTCGTTTCTTTTCTTTTCTCTTCTCTTCTTGTTTGATACAAATTTTCACACCCTTTATCATGAGTTAGGAATCAGGCATAATAAACTACTATTGTTGGTTCCAAATGTAGGATATTTTGTAGTTTTGATAAATATTTTTCTATTTTACCCTTGTGTTGTTGGCTTTGTTAACAATACCTGTTCAGCTCATGAATACTGCAGGTTAAATTAAATACCCTTGATTCTTTATACTTTTGTTATTTGTGGTTTGAAATGCACTTAATTTATTGAGATATTGATTATACTGCCAGTTTTACCCTTAATTGAATACTGAAAGCATTTTCTCATCACTGGTATAAATAAACAAAGGTATGATAAAAAAAATAGAAAAAAACATATATTTTGGTTCTTGCATTTCATTTGTGTTTTTTTGTAAGTTCCTATATTTTATTTTGGTGTCTCAGTCCTATGCTTTCATTTTTTTGATATTCTAACTCTATAAATGGACAAAGTATACAAACTTTGGATAAATGTAAAATATTAAAAAATGAAAGTGTAGGAATTTAAAATATTAAAAAAAAGTGTAGAGATTTATAATAAAGTACAAATAAAGTGCAGCGATTAAAAAATATATTTTTTTAAAAAAATATAATAATGTTACTTTGATTTTTTTAAAAGAAGTATAAAATGAAACTTTTTTTTAAAAAAAAAAAGAAACTAATTTTGTGAAATGAATGGCATATCAAGTTTGGTTGAAATGTTTGAATGCAGAAGGTAAAGTAGCAATGGGTCATGTTATTGTTGAATCAAATGATTGGCAAGTCTGATCTTTTGTTTTGTTTTTTTCCCCCTTTTCACGGATTTGCCAATTGCCTAGGTGCTTAGCTTGTCCAAACAAGAAAGTAGCATCAACTTATTTTCTGTTTTTTTTTTTTTTTTATAGATAGGGCTAGCAAAAGCAACTTATTTTTCTCTGTGATCTCACCACTACTTGGATGGACAACACATAAGAATGCATGTGAACATTGACTATATTACCACTTAAAAACATAGAAAATGCCGTATTAGGGGTTCAAATTGATGTTAATGTGCTGCGCGTGAAAGGCTGGCAAAATTTATTGTTATGTATTTCAACAGTTACTATTGAAATTGATCAAAGTACTCTGTTTCGGTGGGGGAAAAACAAAACGAGCTAACCTGAACAGGACAAGCATGAAGACGCTCACATCAAACACTAATTGTTGCCTCTCTCTGAGGGTAACGTGTTATTGGAGGTCACCATGAGATGATGAGAATGCCCATAGCTGGCACGCCTTGCCTCCCCTATAAAACACTATCCTTCACTTGCTTCTTTTTTTTGGACATCAATTTAGAAAGTGCATGAAAAAAAAAAAAGAACGAGGAGATTATATTATACGCCTTGGTTTTATTCTTAAATTTGGGGATTATTAGTAAACAAGGTGAGCTTGGTTCATGTAGCCTCAAATCCTAAAGCTTGATTATCATAAAATTAGTCATTTTTTTAAACATGATTTTTATTAATTAGGCTCAAGTCAAGCCCGTAAGTATTTTTTATTTTTAAATTTTTTTAATAAATTTAATTTTTATATTATAATAGTATATATTCTTTCTTTAAAATATAAATTTTAATTTTAAAATTTAAGCATATAATAATTTAAAAATTAAAAATTAAAAATATTTCACTTTTTATGGGTAAAATAAAAGAAGGTCTAAGCAGGCTAATTGAGCCTGCTTTTACAAAATCTAACAGGATGAGGTTTAAAAGAAGTGTTTTAAAAATACCCGATCAATTTAATTTGTTAAACTCAGAACTGGCGCTTCATCCAATTCGATTGACTCCTCGAAACAAGCACAAGGGAATCGGTCAATGGTGGGAAAAACTGGTCAAAATCAATTGAAAAATGGATCAATTCTCCTAAAAAACTGGACAAATTAATTAAAATTTTAAAAATATTAAAATTAAAAATTAATTAAAACAAAGAACAGCCAAGCATAATTAATATTAATGATGTATTCATAAATGATAGATCATCTTACGAAGCATTTATTAATATCTTTTTTGAAAAACACAAATATTTATGTATTTATTATTTAATTATGATACATAAATTAAAAATATATTAATTAATATTAACCAAACCATGATTAGACTCATGAACCATGAATCGATGCTTAATTCAATTTAATGACCGATCTAGTTTTTAAAACCTTATTTAAAAGTCAAGCTTGAATTTAAAATTAACTATCTCAACCAAAGTAATGTTACATATAAAGCTAAATGGAGCGCTTCATCACCTGGGTGGGTTAGGGTTGACATTGATGACTCTATCAATATCAATGGTATTGCCACTTGGGAAAATATCATTAGAGATGAAAATGATAATTAAATTAAGAGATTTTTTAAATATTTAGGTTATTATCCTAACATGGGAATTAAGCTTGAGAGTTCTCAAAAGTCTCAACCTTTTATTGAAATGTTAAATTCCACAAAGTCATTATTTACACCCATTCAATGAAAGCTTTATCCCTCGTCGAGTATAGCTATTTTGAAAGACACTCATTTTTTGACATAATCAAGAAAATTAGAGCACCACAACGAAGGATTGGGTGATTATATTAGATCATGTTCGTACAGAAACTAATAAATGTGTCAACTTTTTTGCTTATTAGTCTTCTTGGATAATTTTGATATACAATCTTCTATCTAAAAGTAAAAATTTCATGATTTTAGGTATGATTTGATTTTTGTTTTTTTATACAGTTATCCCGGCCTTGTATTAAACAAAAAGTCGAATTATACTGAAAAATTCCTGCTTTTTAAGCAGGAATTCTCATAAAAACAAACTTAAAGGAGGGCCACGAACCAATATTCCGAGCAATGAGGCTCTAATTATTGGGATTTGGAAAGGGAGAGCGTGTGGGGTGTGGCAGGTTAGAAAGAGGTGGCAAAAAGTCTGATACAAAGAAAGAGACAATTCCATACAAAATACAACGCCAGGGACAAACCAAGTACACGATACCAACTTGGATTAAATTACTCACGAGAAAACACAGAGAGAGAGAGAGAGATGATATGGCTCTTTGCTTGCTTTTCACTCCTTGGAAGAAGCGAAGCTCAAAACTAGCAAATACTAACTTACACCTTCCATTTTGTCCTAACTATCAAATCTCTGGAGAGTGGAGAGCCAAACTCGTGTCTCTTCCTTCTTCTTTCCAGCACTGTTCTCTGCAGTCATGGAAGTCAATACCATTTTTGCTGTTGCTGCAGAATCACCCAGTGTTGCTCTCGACGAGCATGACCACCACCACCGCTACCACCATCCACATGTCCCCTCTAAAACCATTCTTATACTCATCATAACCCTCACCTCCTTCATGCTGCTCCTCGCCATTTCACTCATCATCTTCCTCCTCCGACGCCTTAAATCCTTCCCCAGGAATAATCCAACCACTAAACTCGCCGCCGGCGAAGAAGAGCTTAACGATACCAGCAGCAGATTCATGGCCTCAACAGCTTCCAACTTCACGTCTAGCCCAGGTAATAACGCTCTTCCGATTCTCCCTCCGTCTCTCAGACAATATAAAGGTGAGTTTTTTTAACACTGGGAGAAAAGTGCAGACGTGAAAGGAGGTTGTATTTATGGAGGAAACATGAACATGAGCAGGCCAGCACTAGCAGCACCTAAATTCAGAGGAGTTCAAGTGTTCACATACAAAGAGCTAGAAGGGGCGACGGAGGGATTCAGTGAAGCAAATGTGATTGGCAATGGAGGATCTGGTTGGGTGTACAAGGGAATCCTCAGTGATGGCACTCTAGCCGCCATTAAGTTGCTTCGCAGGGAAGGTAAGCAAGGAGAACGTGCCTTCAGGATAGAGGTGAGAGCGGCCCCTTCATTTATTATCTCATTTTCTCTGCCCACGAGCTCTGCTTCATAACATTTATATCTCTCTCTAGCTACTTGAATTGTACTCTTGAAGAATTTTTTACTTTCTGATAGATTAGCTAGGGTAGCTATGAACATTAATTGATGGCAACTTTTTGCACTTTTGATCATCATTGGCCTTTGGAAATTGAGATGGTGGATGATGAGGGGTACCATGGTTCTCCTGGATTAACCTGTTTCTTAAATTTTTGGTTTGTGCGTGTAGTGCTCCTGGTTGTGTCAAAAAATCTCACAGGCCACAGCCATGTTCATTTCCGGACCTGTAAGCTTTGATATGGGTAATGTAAATTTGATCCTTGAGATTTAAGTGGCGACGACTTGAATCTTTGTCCGTTTGTCCTCCTTTTCTAGTTCCCGGGCGATTGCTCTCTGTTCCTAAGAACTCTTGTATTTTCTTCCCAATACAGAGACGAAAAAGAATTTCTTGCTCATTTGTCTGTATAACGTACATATTGGGAAATGGGAATTGGAGTTGGTGAAACATGTATGGTTAAGGAACAAAAATGGCGTTCACTTCTTAGGTTTTGGCTTTCGACTTCAAATAGTAATGTCTTTTTGTTCTGTTCTTACCTGCCTCCCTGATTTTTCACTGTGTCTGGGTATCCTTTTCGTGTATGTAATCCAGTTTGCTCAGACTCCACAGAGATTGCCTTTGTCTTTTCTGTTTGGAAAGCTGCCGTTTAGGTGAGGAAATCGAGATTCATAAGAAAAGTCAAAACTCCAAATAAGTTTGTAATTTAATACCGTGTTAGGGAATATTTTTAGGGAGAACTATTTTAAGAACTCCCAATACAATTAATTAATTGCTTTCGGGGGTTATTGATAACTAAGCTTAGAAGTGAGACTTGTATATATCCTAAATGGTAGGACAATGAGACATCAAATTTGTTCAAAAACAAAAATGATCTCAAATTAAATTCAAAATACTCATATATCTTAAGGAAAAAGTAAGTTGGATGATAAAAATAATCTTTAAACTTTTTAGTGCCAGAAAGACAACCTTAGTATAGGCTATTATATTAAGTTGTTTTCGATTATGTTGTCGTCTCTGACTACTAACTGCGAAGAAAACAAATAGGAAGTGACTTCTTCACGGTCCTCGAGCAATAAATGTGATATTATGAGCTTTATTCTAATAATGTGCTGCACATGGGGCTGAGGACTGACATATGGAATGCGAAAATTAAAAATTGCCATTTTGATCCTTTGCTTTGTTTTTAATTGCAGGTGGATCTTCTTAGCCGATTACACTCTCCTTATTTGGTGGAGCTAATTGGGTATTGTGCGGACCAGCGCCACAGGCTGCTCGTATTTGAACACGTGGCCAATGGGACCCTCCAACACCATCTTCATTCCGCTCAGGATCATCTTCAGCCGTTGGATTGGTGGACCCGGATGAGGGTGGCCCTTGACTGTGCCAGGGCCTTGGAGTTCCTGCACGAGCACGCGGGCCCCACGCCTGTGATCCACCGCGACTTCAACTCCAACAATGTCATACTGGATCATAACTTCCGCGCCAAGGTTTGTGACTTTGGATTGGCCAAGATGGGCTCCGACAAGATCAATGGTCAAGTTTCCACCAGGGTTTTAGGGACCACCGGATACCTAGCTCCAGAGTGAGTATACTGTACCCTCCCCCATATTAGCCCGGCTCATATTGACTCATGACTAAAAAGCTTGTTACTATAAAATTGATTTTTTTAAGCTGTAAATGTGCATTTTTATTCTGAAATATTTTTTAAAGAGCATTTAACAACTTAAATTATTAGTTAAAATAATTGTATTTTTAAAGTAATTAAAACAGAATATTTTTGTTATTTTTATTAAATTTCTTACTTGTTAAAGAATTTAATGTAAAGAACAAAGATGATTGGTGGGTGAAATTATTTCAATTAATAGTTTAGGATGTTGGATATTTTTTAAAGAATATTTTAAAAGCAAAAATCTACGTTTATCTTCTTTATAAAACTCAATCTTTATTGATTGAACTTAAGGCCAGTAAATCTTTTTTATTTTAAATTTTTTAAAAATTAATTTTTATATAATAATATTATATATTCTTTTTAAAATATAAATTATAATATTTAAAAATTTAAAATAAGTAATATAAATTTTAATTTTAAAATAAAAACGTATATTCTCAAGTCTACATTAAGATTAAAAATTTAAAATATTTTTTTAATAATAAAATGAAAAAGCAAGCTTGAATGAGTCCTGAAAGCTTAAGCCTTTTTTTTTTTTTTTTGGAGATACAAGCTCAAGCCTATTTTTACAAGTATAACAGAAGCTGGATTTCAAATTCTTTTTTTTTTTTTTAATTTTGCCAGAAGCCGGGTTTTGAAAATCTATCGGCTTTACCGGCTCAAGCCTATTTTTACAAGTATAACAGAAGCTGGATTTCAAATTCTTTTTTTTTCAAAAAAAAAAATTTTGCCAGAAGCCGGGTTTTGAAAATCTATCGGCTTTACCGGCCCAGCCAAAAAAAAAATAGAAAAAGAAAAAACTATCTTCTGTCCCTGTGATGTGTGAAGCAGCGTTCCTTGTCTTCTGGACACACAGTACGAAAATTTGTGGGTTGAAAGAAAGGAATCATTGTAATGGACAGTCAGTATCTTGTCACTTTCATGCAAGCTGTCAATTTTCTCATTTAATGCTAAGGTTTTCTTGTAACGACTGTAAAATTCATCAGTAACTAAGATTTGAAATTGAAATTGCAATTGTAGGTATGCGTCCACAGGGAAGCTCACGACAAAGTCAGACGTATACAGCTACGGCGTCGTTTTACTGGAGTTGCTCACTGGGCGAGTGCCCGTTGATATTAATCGCCCTCCCGGTGAACATGTCCTTGTCTCTTGGGTTAGTGACCAATAATAACTCATGGCCTTCATACACATTTATATTGCACCAATAAGATTTCATGATAGTTTCTTACGTGGCATAAGATGATTGATCAGGCTCTTCCGAGGCTAACTAACAGAGACAAGGTGGCGGAGATGGTTGATCCAGCTCTGCGAGGACAGTACTCTAAGAAGGATCTAGTTCAGGTCAATTTTCTTAATTAATAGCTATTGTGATTTAAGATCGTTCAAAGATAATATCAAACTAACAAAAATTGATTATAAATAAGATTTGTTTTGATTTTTTTGGCAAAATCAAACCAAACCTTATTTAGAGTTGGTAGTTCAAGCCAAATTCAACGGATGAACCCAAACTAACCCAAAAAAAGTTATGTTTAAACTTGTTTATATGGGCTTTTTGAAAAAGGTAAGATGCTTCAAACTCAATTCGAATAAGCTCGGCTTGAATTGAGTTAGATTTAAATAAGTTTGACTACTGAAATTTACAACTTTATATGTATATAGAGTTAGTAATTTTGGCCAAGCACGACAGGTTAACCGGAACTCGACTGAAAAAGTTAGGGCTAGCTTTGGTTATATGGGCTTTTTTAAAAAGGTATGATACTTTAAACTTAATAAAAATAAGCCTGGCCCGTCCAAATTATCAGTTGTAACCTTATTATTTATTTTCTATATTTTTTTAAATTTCTCTAATTTTTCCTCATTTATAAGTTTATTTATTTATAAATCACTAATACAAAAATCAATTACAGTTAACTAAATGTTGTCTATTAATGTCTTTGATAATTTTTTTAAAATTTATAATATAGTATTTTAAAGATAATACGTTAGTTTTTAATAGTTAAATCATAAATGTGCTAATTAATTATTTAAAAAAAAATATTCTTTTGTCCTCAAGAATTTTTGTTGTTGCTGATAGTCATTAATAGTTATTAAAAATTACCTGTAAATATGTACATATACCATTGAATATCTCATTTGAAAAAAAAAAAAAACAAACTTGAACCAAACTTTTTTTGTCCCAAACCTGTGAATGAGTTTGGTGAATTGAGGAAAACCAAACCTGTGAACATTCTTGGTGGATTGATATGGTTTTGTCCCATTAATGGATTGATTTGTATTACTGTCTTGGTTTTTATAGGTAGCAGCCATAGCAGCGATGTGCATACAGCCAGAAGCAGATTATAGGCCGTTGATGACAGATGTAGTGCAATCTCTAGTACCACTTGTTAGGAACACATCTTCTGTTAGTTCATCAAGCTCAAGTTCATTAAGATTTCAAAAACATGCATCAAGTCCGAACCATTCGCTGCTGCACAACAGATAGACTACTCAAAATCTGCTTAGAGGAATAGTATAACCAAATAACTTTGCATTTTATTTCCTTGGGCCCTATATTTTCTTCATTCTAGAAGCTTCTCATTTATATAGAATGGAAGGCGAACACTTGACTAGTTTGCCTTTCGGTTGTTATGAATTGTAGGGGTACACAATGTAGGAGAGGATGATTTTTTAAATGGAATACATATTGCAAAGTGACAATAACTTTCCATTGTTTGAAGAGCTTAATGCCATTTCAAGGCCTAAAATAATGCCTTGGCTAATCATCTGAAATCGACATGTCAATGCACCTAATTAATACTGAGTCAGTTTTAGCCCAAGGAAAAAAATAACTAAGAAAGGCCTTTGTCATTTTTGCAAGATATTCTTTCTGAACTATAATATAAATCATTATTAATTGATTTATATTTTTTCAAAAGATTGGTTTCTTGATTTTCTAAAAATTTTCAAATACCCCATAGATGAATTACTATATAAACCAACAAATAACAAAAAATCTTATAAAACATTACATCTCTTCAACACTTTCCTTCAAGTTCAAACTATGTAAATCAACAATTTGTAGCTTGATGAGAAATCTATCATGGGATTCTTTTCCCAATGCTTTAGTTAGAACATTAGCCTCTTACTTTGCTGAATGAACATGGCGCAGGGAAATGACTTTCTTCTATAGTTTCTCCTTGACAAAATGACAATCCACCTCTGTGTTTTGTCCTCTCACGAAAAACAAGGTTCTTGGCTATATGAATAGCAGCATTGCTATCACTAATACCTTTACGGTTGTCATATTTGTAGACCTGAATCCTTCATCAATCCTAAAACCCAAATAATTTTTGAGACAATACTAAGAGCTTTATACTCAACTTCAACTAATGACTTTAAAATAGTTTCTTGCTTCTTTGCCTTCCAAGAGATTAAGGAGTCTCCTACGTTCAGCAAATAGCTGGAAACTGACCTTCTAGTGGTGTGACATGCAACCCAATCCAAGTTACAAAAGCATCTTAGTGTTGTACTGGGTTTGGATCTTAGGAATATCCCAAGGCTTGGGTTGTTCTTCAAATATCTTAGCACATTCTTAACAGTTGCCATGTGCACCTTTGTTAGAGCTTGCATAAACTGACTCAAATTCGACACAAAGAAAGAAATCTAGGACGTGTCATTGTTAAATATATTAACTTTTCAATGAGTCTCTTGTACTCCTTAGGGTCTTTCACCAATTCCTCCTTCTTGTTTCTTCCTTCCTCATATGCTGTAAGTCTCAAATTTGAAGCCATCGTCACCATCAATGGCCTGCAGTCGCTCATCCATGTTTCAAACAATGAGTCTGACACATACTTTCTCTAGTTCATAACAATACCTTTTTGAGAATGTGCTACTTCAATTTGCTGTGCAAAAAATCTTTAGTTTGTTTAATTATAGTCTCAGAACTTAGTAATTACTAGATCATCCAAATACACAAGGATCCATACAATGCCATCATCAAAATGTTTAACAAACAGTGAGTAATATGCATGTTTTGACTATAACCTCTTAATTTCAATGCTTGTGGGAGTTTATGGTTCCATTGTGGGGATGCTTGCTTGAATCCATATAAGGGTTTATTAAGTCTACATACTTTAGCCTCCCCCTTACCAAGAAGACACTATGGGATATTCATATAAAATTTCTCAACAAAATCACCCTATAAGAAGGCATTGAAAACATTCATTTGATTTAGAAATCAATTATGTTGAGCAGCCGAAGAGAAAACAGTTCTAATAGTCACCATTTTTACCACAGGGGAAAAAGTCTCTTGGTAGTCTATCCCCTCTCTTTGGCTATACCCTTTTGCTATTAATCTAACCTTATATCTCTTTACACTCCCATCAGCCCTATGTTTGATCTTATATACCTACTTAGAACCTATAGGTCTTTTACCTTTGGGTAAATATATTATAGTCCAAATTTTGTTTTCTTCTAAGGCCCTAAGTTCAGCATCTATTGCTTTCACCTATTGCTTATTTTTCATAGCTTCTTCATAATTCTTAAGTTCAATGTCAACATCAAGAGATGAGAGGAAACATTTATGAGATGGAGAGACATAATCATAAAATACATGTGATTGAATAGGGTATTTCACAAAAGTATAAGCATAACAAACATAATCTTTGCCTATATGGTAGGTTTTTTCTCCCCAATAGGCCTCATTCTATGTTGTTCTTGAGTGTGAGGTTCAATTAAGTTGTCATTTTAAATGGCATGTGGTTCTCCTAATTCATTCATATTTAAAGAATTTTCTGCAACAGACTTAGTAATTTGAAAATTACCATTCTATTTTTGTGAATGTAATTGATCAAAGTCATATTATAATACTTTATCAAAGGATTGTTTTGCCTCATTTTGAACAGAATTTCCAGCATCTTTAAAAGGGAATTTATTCTCAATAACCATAACATGCCTAAAAATAAAGAGGCATTTACTCTATAAGTTTAGCAAAATAAATCCCTTTTGAGCTTTTGGATATCCTAGAAAAGCACAAATGTTGAATTTAGGTTGAAATTTATCATTAATAGTCAAGTTTTTGCCAAATGCAAGTGAACTAAATATTTTCATATTACGTGCTTCATAAATGTGAAGTCTTTTTATCCACCTCCCTCCTTTCAGCCATTGATCAAAATGCACGGTCATCATCACCCATTTCACAACCATTGCACAAAAAGCCACTACATAGGATCTGGATCCCCCTGGTTGTTCATCCTAAAGGGTCCATAGTATTCAATGGCAAAGCTATGTGTATGTGAGGGGGCATGGAGAAAATTGCATACATGGTATATAAAAATTACAATCTTGCACCTCTAATTTTAGAATTTTGAACCTTCTAGACTTAATAAAAAATATTTGACTTCAAAAACTTCTTAAATAAATAATATTTAACTCATATTCCATAAATTTAAACTAAAAAATTTATACTCATTAGACATATAATTAAAAAATGGATCAAGAGTTATTTTTATTTATAATAAACTCCAAGCACAACAAATTAAAGTCATCCTTTTAGGTAATAGTTTTCTTTTTTTTTTTGTTTCAAATTAAACTCTATCAACTTTCTCAAAATATATATATATATTTTGCTCAAACAAATCCTTAATATATTTTTCCCAATAAAAATATGCATAACTTTACTTATGTTATTATATTTTTGCCTAATGTACTTATTTTTTAAATTTATTATAATATTTTTTTTAATTATTAATTTTTAAATTAAGTTGTTTCGTACCCCTGACTCTTTCTTGACTCAACCACAGATAGTATTACTTTGTTCGTTATTTTCATGTTTCCAAGAACACCGTTTGGGTCTTGAGTAATTAAAATCAAATGCCTAAAATGCATTCGCTATTAATTAATAATGTATATAAATAGTTATAATTCATATTAATGAGAAAGCATCAAACTGATGATATTCTGAAAGCCTAAACTTGGATAAGCATGTTATTAACTGATTGCAAGACATTTAATATTGGTGTGAGGACCACAATGGCCAAATATATATCAGCTCTGATTTTTCATGACAATTTTTTTATATATATAATAAGAGGGAAGTAACCCAAATTACAACAAAATAAAAAATTGACGGGAATTAAATCCCAAAATATCATTCTGTATCAGGCCCCCATGAAAGTAGGTGTCGTGTCAAAAACTCTAGATTTTTAAAATCATTCTTTGCCAATGAATCTTTAGCTTTCAAAGCCACATTTCTTTTTCATGGATTTAGAGAGTTGGATTGCTTTCCTTTGGCTTTAGGCAGAAGATATTTTTTCTTTAAACTGGTATGGGTCTGGTCACACCCAGCTTGTAGATCAAAGCCATTGATTTTCCTACACACACGAGATTGCTCCATCACCAATTTAACATGTTAACATCATCTGGCCTTATTACTTGTCCTCATTTGTTTTTCTATTTTATCCCTAAATATTTATCCTGTTTTAAATTCCCAAGTGTAATATTGAATCGTTCTCCATAATATCCTTCTAAAACGGTAAAATTTCCTATTTCACCTTTTAATGGTTTCTTGGTATTAAATGGAGGGAAAAAGTGAAAAAAAAAAAAAAAGTCTTGCACGAATTATTGGGCTAAAACAAACGAACAGGAAACCTTGGACTTAGTTAATGTCAGGACTTAGATACAAAGTCCAAAAAGTCAAGGGTTAAGGTAAAAAGAAAGTTCTTTATAGCGGGCTTCTTCAGTAAAGATGGACCCATCCCTTAGGTTACAATGGAACACTTTAATTGGGCCACCATTGTCAATGGTCTCTATTTAATTTGGGTCTATGACAATGAATTTTTTTTGATAAAAAAATCATTATGGTACTCTTCTTGCCACTACTAATTTAGGGTTGAAAATAGGGCAGCTCGCAAAAGATGGCCTGGCTTATTTCAGGACTGGTCTAACATCACTTTTTACTAAATAAATCTTGGCTATGTTCAACATTTAATCATACTTATTTAATCAAATATGTTTTTATTTTTATAAGGTCTGGCTGAATCCGGATCCTCTCATAATCATTTTCCCTCAATGTCCCAATCCAAGCCTTGCGACATTATTCCACGTTAAAGTAATTTGATTTTAAAAAGTTTTTCTTTTCTTTAGATATATTTGTTATAATGGTTTAAATTGATTTTTTTTTCACTTCCTATTTTAAAAATTACTCCGTAGATGTTTGTAAAGGGATAGCTTATTCAAATTTTAACCTAGCTTATTTAATAAAAATTTATTTAAAAAAATTTACAAAATAAGTTAGATTGACCTATAGTCCGGTTTATTCAAACCTAACCCAACACTTGTGGAAAAAAAAAAAATCTGTTTAATAAAATCTAAAGTCGTGAAATAAAATGTAAAAGAATTACTTTTTAAAATTAAATTATTTTAACATTGGACAATGTGGCAGGACATGGAATATTGGATTAGATTAAAGGGCTTGGGTTGAGATGAGGGATAACAATTTTGAGAGGATATAAATCCAAATCTAGCTTATGAGCTTAATAGACAGGCTTAGTCACAATCATTTCAATTTCACTATTTTATTTTTAATCAATATTTTTTATTTTTAATTATATTTTTAATCAGATTAGACTTACATATTAAATTAATAGGATAAAGTAATAAATTTAGCTGCATACAATTTTTTCAAAAATATCTAATATCCTAAACTATCAAGTGGTGTGAAAATCTACAATTTTTAAAAATAAAG